TTGAAACTAGGAGTTTGAGACGAGCAAGACTCCATCTCTATTGTTTTTAATTTAACATTTGTAGAATATTAGTACTATATTTTGTCTCAGTTTTAGGTTACTTGTTGGTTATTGGGGGCAAGAAAACCTTACTCTTTATGCATAAAGCACAGACATACGTACAGTAAATAAAGAGATATATACAGGATATCTGTAGTACTCAAATTTCACAGAGGAGGAGAGATGATCAGGGAAAAAATTATCTAGAAAGGTGCCTCAGGGACAATACTGAAAAAAATTTAAGAAACACTGATCTACAGGAAGCAAACACGAGGAACAAGAACAAGGGTGAGAGGCAAGGGAGACCCATCAGAGGATTCCATGTGGGTCCTGATGCGCATGGCCCAGAGACATGGGGGGAACAGATGAAAACACAGTGTCCCCAGGGCAACTCCACCTTTCCTTCTGCCCATCATTTCATTCTTCCATGTGTTCAATTAAAAATATACAAAATATCTGGCCAGGTGCAGTAGCTCATGCCTGTAATCCCAGCACTTTGGGAGGGTGAAATGGGAGGATCACTTGAGGCCAGGAGTTCAAGACCAGTCTGGGCAATATAGCGAGATCTCGTCTCTACAAAAAGTTTTTAAAATTAGCCAGGTGTGGTCTCACAGCCTGTAGTCCAAGCTACTCAGGAGCTGAGGAAGGAGGATTGCTTAAGCCCAGGAGTTCGAGGTTACAGTGAGCCATGATTACACCACTGCATTCCAGCCTGGGTAGCACAATGAGGTCCTGTCTGTAAAGGAAAAAAAAATCACACAGTGCTGGTGGCTGTAGGGTAGGCCCTCCTTTGGCTTTACTATATAATGTGTTACTAAGTAGTTATACCAATATATATTCAACACCCTTTCTGGATGAGTTCAGGCAGCTAACGCTGATATCATCAGGGGATTTTTGTTTTGTTTTTGCCAAACTAGAAAGCATAAAATGATATCTTATTGTAGTTTTAAGATGCATTTGTTTGATTACTAATGAATTTAACATTTTTTCATATGTTTATTGGTCATTTATGTTTCCTCTTCTACAAATTCCTCTTCATATCTTATACCATTTTTCTATTGAGTGATTGTCTTTTTTACGAAATTTCTTTATTCCATATGCCAATCCTTTGTCAGTTTGCAAATTACTTCTCCACTAGTGACTTGCCTTTCCACTTTTCTATTGTGTCATTAGATAAAAAGTTTTCAATTTTAATGTAAATTTATCAGTGTTTTCCTCTATAATTTGCACTTTTTGTACCTTATATTTAAAAAATCTCTCTGTGCCGGCATCAATATTCTATGTCATATTTTCTAAAAGTTTAATACTTTTGATTTTCATTTTAACTTCTTAATTCATATTGAAAATTATTATGAGGTAAGCATGTGTATACTTTCTAGTTTGACAAAAGTAGATCTTGTTTTTATTGCTTTTCAACTTAATTTCCATAATTACTTATTAATCCATAATTAAAAGTCAAAAAAATAGATATTGCTGTAAATGTGATAAGAAGGGAACACTTTCACATTACTGGTAGAAGTGTAAATTAGTACAACCACTATAGAAAACAGTATAGGAATTCCTTAAGGAACTAAAAGTAGAACTACCATTTGATCCAGCAATCCCACTACTGGGTATCTACCCAAAGGAAAAGAAGTCATTGTATGAAAAAGGCACACGCACCTGCATGTTTATAGCAGCACAATTTGCAAGTGCAAAGATATGGAACCAATCTAAGTGCCCATCAACCAACGAGTGGATAAAGAAAATGTGGTATATATACACCATGGAATACTACTCAGTCATAAAGAGGAAAGAAATAATGTCTTTTGCAGCAACTTGGTTGGAGCTGGAGGCCATTGTTCTAAGTGAAGTAAGTCAGGAATGGAAAACCAAATATCATATGTTCTCATTTATAAGGAGGAGCTACGCTATGAAGACACAAAGGCATAAGAATGTATAATGGACTTTGGGGCTCCGGAGGGAAAGGTTGTGGGGATGAGGAATAAAAGACTACATATTGGCTACAGTATACACTGCTTGGGTGACAGGTACACTAAAATTTCATAAATCACCACTGGAGAATTTATCCATGCAACCAAAAACCACCTGTACTCCAAAAACTATTGAAATAAAAAAACATGAAAAAAATCTCCCTACAATAATAGACCTATCTGTCTTTATGTTTATGATCACTTTTTGTTTTATATATTTTGAAGCAAATAAACTTAGAGTTTTAATATCTTCCTAACAAGAAATGAACTGTTTGTTATTCAACAGCAGCCCTCTTTGTCACCAGTAATGCTCTTTGCTGCTATTAATAAAACTGCACCAGTAGTTTGTTAGAGGGAGAGGGGGTTTAATATTTGCCTGGAATATCTTTTCATACTTTTACTTTCAAATCATGTGTCCTTCTGTTTTAAGAATATCCAGCTAAGAAAAGCCTCTCTGAGCTCCATTTCGGTTTTTGTTTTATTTCTCTTTCTTTTTTTCATCTAGTCTGACAATCTTCATCTTTTTTGAGAATTCACTTATGTTGATTGTAATGACTGACATATTTAAACTTATTTCAACCATTTCTTTTATGCTTTCTCTTTGTCCCACTTTTCCATGTTTCATCTTTACTTTTAAGGATGAAATATCTAACAAATGAATTCATCATATTCTAAAGGGATTTAAAAAACTGATACTATAGTATTGATCCTATCTTGCAGAGGACAACTGCTATGTTTTGAATGTTTGTCCCCTCCAAAACTGGTGCTGAAATTTAATCCCCAGTGTGGCAATATTGTGAGATACAGCCTTTAAGAAGCAATTGGGTCATGAGGGCTCTGCCTTCATTAATGGATTCATTCATAGGTTGTATTAGTCTGTTTACATACTGCTATAAAGAACTATCTGAGACTGGGTAATTTATGAAGAAGAGGTTTAATTAACTCACACTTCCACAGACTTAACAGGAAGCATGACTGGAAGGCCTCAGGAAACCTACAATCATGGCGGAAGGCAAAGGGGAAGCAAGCACATCTTACCACGGCAGAGCAGAAGAGAGAATGAGCAAAGCGGGGAGTGCTAGACTTTCAAACAACCAGATCTCATATGAACTCTATCATGAGAACGGCAAGGGGGAAGTCTGCCCCCATGATTCAGTCACCTCCCACCAGGCTCCTCCTCCAAGACGTGGGGATTACAATTTGACATGAGATTTGGGTAGGGACACAGAGCCAAACCATATCATGAATTAATGAGTTATCATGGGAGTGGGACCGGCAGCTTTATAAGAAGAGGAAAAGATACCTGAGCTATCACACTCACCACCTGATCTCCTGCATGGCCTCAGGACTGCAGAGACGCCAGCAAGAAGGCCCTCACCAGATGTGGCTCCTCAACCTCGGACTTTCCAGCCTCCATAACTGTGTAAATTCCTTTTCTTCATAAATTACTAAATAAGTTCATTTTCTTATAAAATTACTCAGTTTTATGTACTCTAAGCAACAAAAATTCACTAAGACCATAAATGAAGATGCAGTGAAAACCTTTGCTTGGGTTAGAAAGCTAATCAGTGACCAAACTAAGGACCAAACATGAGTAAAACAATGTCTAGCACTCTTCCACCACACAATTAATTTAGTACAATCCTCGAAGTACATCATCTTCCCCTCACAGAGGTAAAGAAAAACCAGTATGAAGCTATTCATTTTACATATAGGAAAACTAAGACTTGTGGTAATAAGTCATTTACACGTGGGTGGGAAAACTTTGTTACAAATTAAAATGTTAAATTTCCAGAAATTTTGAATTCTAGGGGAAAAAAAACTAAACAGAAATTTGTGGGAGAAAAGAAAACCATTAACGAGGGCTGAGGTAGATATATTTATTACTAGCTTAGGAACAAAAAAAATTATTATTAGGTCTGCTCACAAAGTTATATGAAATTTTAAAATATATTCAGATCTGACGACGTCTAATATTTTGGATTTTGCCAGTTCAGCAGCCACTTGAGTACAAAAAAATAATCAATATCATATTTAAGAGGAAGTTAACATGCTGTTGGGATTTCCTATCTTCCAGGGTTAGAAGCAATGCCCAGGAAGCACCAATTTTCAGTAAGGAGTCAGAAACTAACTCAAGTTAGGTGCACGTCTCTAACCACAAGGCATCCTGTTTCTGTATCTCACTTTCTGGTCTCAATCTCCAGAGGTTTCTGTTTCTCTTCTACTTCAGTTTTATCACCTCCGGGAACCTCTGAGAATCAAAACATTTTTCCTAGGTTGAATTCCAAATCAGGTTTTGGTTGTGTCTTGTTTTTACTCAGTAAATTTCCAAGCACAGACTTTTTCCTCCACCAGGAATCTATAGCAAGCAAGAAGCATTTATCAGAGGCCTCTGGGCAACACCCTGGCCCCCAGGTGACAGAAAGATCCCCCTGGCAGTATACCAGGTCCCTTGCTAGCTAGACCTGTGAAGAGGGTCTCAATCCTGCCTCATATAAAAGTAGTTTTCAAATAACCACTTTGAAGAATCTTTCATTATCTAAGTCAGACCAAGGCAAGAGTGAAATGCTACTGGACTTCCCATCTAAAACAGCAACAGCAGCATAAACTACTTGACATTAAAATTATTTCCACTTCTTAAGTAAATCATCAAGTTTCTTCTGAATTTGAACTTGTCTAGATTCTCAACAACAGGCAGCTTTTTGATAAACTGATCGGAAGTGATCTTAAAGACCACCACCACCCTCCATGGTTAGTTTTACTCCACAACCTTCATATTCAATGTCTGAAAATAAGTTGGAGAAAGTAACTGCAGGATATGAACTATGAACTTTTATCTTAAATGTTATATTGATCGTTAACAACTTTATCATTTTTTCCAGGCTCCCAATGCTAATATTCATGTCTTCTGATTCCTAGCTTGGACTCTTTCTTTACAAGAAGCAAAGGAAAAACACACTTAATAGGTAACAACACAAATAATCATACCTTTCTTGCCAGCAGTGTAGCCATTTGAGACACTACCATGTGGCCAAGGAGAAGCCACACCAGCCACTGCTTCCCCCATTCCATCCAGAAGCTCCACTCAAAGTCGGTCGCATCCTAAATAGGACAAAATAGGAGTTTATCAGAGGGATTTCAGTACACATCTGAGTCAGAACACAAACTCCAGTTAATAAAACTGGAAAGAAGGTGAGTCCAAACTCTGTAAAACAGGATTTACACACTTCTAGCCTTTCCCCATCCATCTGTACACTCCCCTCCAGCTTGCTATTATTTAATGGCAAAAACTGCAATTACTTTTGCACCAACCTAACAGAATCATTGCTATTGCCATTCCCCAAATGCACCTTGGACTTTCTACAACTCTGTCTTTGTTACAGCTGATCTCCCAGGACCCTCTATAGTATAGATACTATTATTATTTCCATTTTGCAAAAGATGAAACAGAGACTTAAAGAACTCAATTCATTTACCCAAGGTCACAGGGATAGCACAAGTAATGAATTGAGGCTATCCCGGTTTAGACAACTAGATGTTTTCACTAAGGAGAGGAATGTAAATTGGATACTAATAATATGGCTTAAAGTCAGTCATTCTGAGTCTTGTTACCATTTACAGACAGAATAATTTGTCAGAGAAATTAACTAATTTCATATAAATTTATAATAAAGGAATGAAAGGTACACTTCCCTTCCCCCCAAGAAGCTCTGTGTCCATGTGGCATTCTGTGTCTGCATCGGTACCAGGTTCCACATGTATGAAGCTCCCCAGCAGGAGTAGGTAGAAACCTCTGAAAAGAGTGGACGTGTGGATGCTTAGAAACCAGCACCTCAAAGTCAATGCCTCAGGAGCCCCAGAAAGGACCACAGAGGCCAAGAGGAGCGTGGAGAGATGCACACAGGATGGAGGTGGATTTGAGGTCTCAGAATTTTCTAACCAAAACATGTGCCTGGAAAAGGACTCCTGCAATGACTACTGATATTGAACCCCTCACCAATCTCTACAAGTAGAACTTGAAGTCTCTCTTAATTGGATTTGAAGAAAAGTGTGATTTTTTTGGTGTACCTAAGATTGTGGGGTAATGTCATACCAGTTACACACAAATAAAACTTTTTTGCAGAAAGTAAGATACACATAAAATTGATCTTGATTCATAACAGACTATGAGTGCAAGGTAGCTAAGACTGGAGGCTTGGTTTGGGTCCAGAGCCCAGATCTACTCACACTTGCTGTGATGACCTTGAACATGATCCTTAACCTTTCTGTTCTGTTTCTTCATACAACAATAGTACTTAACTTACAGGGATTTTTGAGGCTTAAATAAGAGCATATGTATATTAAAAGTTTATAACAGCACACAGTACTCACTAAACAGCAGTACCCACTACTCACTGCTAGACCCATGTGCTTCCCATCCCTTGTAAACCACCAGCCAAGACTGTATCATGCTTTACTTTGTGCCACTCATTTAAAAAAAGTTTTCCCATTTCTTCAAATAAGGAAATACAATACTGTGCATTCTCAAATTACACATGCTCTCCACGCCCCAGATCCCGATACATGATCTGCTCCTAAAGCCCCTGTCCCCTGCTGGAAATCATGTATCGAGTTGAATTGCTTCCATTTAGAGATGACTACACCAGAGTCTGGGACATGCCCACCAACACACAGCCAGGCAGCACAGCAGAGAACTCAAAGCTTTAACCTGGCTCCTGATCCCTGATCCACAGTTTATTTCCCCATCTAGAGATTTCCAAGTTGGCTGAGAGTCAATTAACTAAAGGTAAACAAGTTCAAAGGTCATGTGATGAGGCCATGTTAGTAAAATACCACTTTTATAACAGGGATATAGCTAAAAAGACACTGAAAGCCGAGACTTTTTTTTAACACAAACTCAAAAAAGAAAAAACATTTGAGCTTTTTAAATATAACATTTTTGAACACTTAGAATTACATTTAGAATTCATGACCCCAAGCTTACCTATGCCTCAAAACTTCTCCAAGTTTAATTTTTTAGGGGGGATAAAAGGATATAATATGACAAAACATCTAAGACTTTCTGTTCCACCAGAAAGTCCAGGACTCCTGAAAACTCTGCTGGTAAAATCCCATCAACAAAAATTACGCATGGCCTTTCACTGCTAATTATTGCAAAAAACATTCATTTAAAGGCAATAAAAATGTCTCCCTCATGTCTATTCTTCCCCATTTAAAAAAGTTACCTAAGGGAAATGACCACACAGAAAAGCTGGGCCAATGAAAAGGTCAAGATGATGTTTAATGATTTGGGTAAGAAAAATATTGACTCACTGCTTCTCGAAGTAAAAGCTTTATAGACTCTGAGCTCAGTCACACATTTCAAGGCAAACATGAAAGCCTGAAATCAGGAACAACATCATGTTCTGTCCCCTCCCCCATTTTCTTTCTTGACCCCATGGTTATTCGTCAATTAGGAGTCTCTTCTTTGGGACTCTAAGGGGGTCATATATAAACTGGAGCTAAATCCCAGCCAGGCAGAACTAGGCAGGCTTCTCCATGGAAGCTTGGAGGCTGTACTCCAAGGAGAAGTCACCCACATCCAACCTCAAGGTGGACACAAGCCACCTACTTGCTAAAATGCAGATTCTGATGCAGTCAATCAAGAGTGGGGCGTGGGGTCTGCATTTCTAACAAACTTCCAGATGATGTGATACTACCAGCCTGGGGACCGATCTGCACGACTGATGAAGCCTTCCTACAGCTGAATGTTCATAAACTCACAGAATCCTTAACAGCTCAGCCCACCCCGTACCATTCCCAGCCAGGGAGGGCACACACTCCGAAGCTGCTACCTAACACTCACCAACAGAGCAGTCATCCTCCTGTTCACCATTCAAAGCTCTGAGCACCCAGACTTCGGAATTCACTGAACAAGTTAACAAATGCGGTTGTTTATTCCGAGGCTTGCATTCTGCTACCAGGCAATACTAAGGACTCTGAGAGACACAATCGTTCTGGGTTTCTTAAATAGTAACTCTAACTTCCTGGCAAAACACTTTTTCCCTTCTTAACAAAGGAAAGGGTCTGGGCCTAGTGTTTGTAACTGCTGCTTTTCCTACCCACAATGGAGTTCTACTCTAGGCACCATGAGGAGCTCAAAGCCTAAATGGGAACACCCCCAGCACCAAGACCACCACACCCCACAATGAAGACACACTAAAAATCCACTGCAAAGTGAGAGGGGTAACAGTGCTGCAACTCAACTTCATATGTCCAGGAACCTGACAGACCTCTCCTTTCTTCCCATGCAATCACTGATGAACATTCGAGTATGTGTTTTCTAATTACAACCTCATAACAATCTTTAAAGTGGTTCATTTGCTTAATAGACCTTATCTTTTACAGACTTTTCAGTTCACAGAAGAATTAAGCACAATGTACAGAGAGTTCCCATAGACCCCTTAACCCCTCTCCATCAGCATCCCCCACCACAGTAATATATTTGTTCCAACTGGTGAACCTACACCGATTCATCATTGTCACCCAAAGTCCATAGTTTACATTAGGGTTCACTCTTGATGTTGCATATTCTATGGGTTTGGACAAATGTATAAAAACACATATCCACCATTTTCATATCATATGGAATAGTTTCACTGCCCTAAAAATCCTCTGTACTCTACCTCTTCATCCCTCCCACCCTGCCCCTGCCCCCCACCTCAATCCCTGGCAAACAGTGATCTTTTCACTGTCTCCATATTTTACTTTTTTCAGAATGTCATGTAGTTGAAATAAATAAGTTTTGGGTTTTTGGTGTTTTTTTTTTCTGTCAGCAATTTGAAGCTTTTTTTATTTGAGACAGTCTCGCTCTGTTGCCCAGGCTGGAGTGCAGTGGCACAACCTCAGCTCACTGCAACCTCTGCCTCCCAGGCTCAAGTGATTCTCGTGCCTCAGTCTCCCAAGCAGCTGGGACTACAGATGCATACCACCATATCTGGCTAATTGTAGTAGTTTTAGTAGTGACGGGGTTTCACCACATTGGCCAGGCTGGTCTCAAACTCCTGACCTCAAGTGATCCACCAGCCTCAGCCTCCCAAAATGCGGGGATTACAGGCATAAGCCACTGCGCCTGGCCTGAAGCTCATTTTTCCTTTTTTCTTCTTTTTTCTTTTTTGAGTAGTTCTGTTTTTTATCTCCGTATTACTAATGAGTTAACTGGAGGTCAGAGAAAGCAAATTATTTGTCCAAATCTAGTAAGGGGCAGAACTGGGTTTCTAACCTAGGCCTGTCTGATGCCAAGGAGGAAACCCTTTTCTGAGATGTTTCTACTCATACTTGTCCCTGTACCTGGACTTTCTGCCCTTCCCACCCCTTTAGCCCACAAAAATATTTGACTAGACAATCTCCAACCCAGAGTGCACCTCATTAATGCCCCATAACCACAAAGCCAGCCCAGTGACATGCACAAAACACTCACTAAATAGTACAATTCAAATGTCAGCACAGAAGTGAGGCTTTCCCATCCCTGTGCCTCCCAGGTGGACCTCATTGCACTCCCTTCTCTGTCATCCACATCTCAATTCTAGAACTTTTATTATGGCATATTTATTATATTACTTTTATTCATGTATTTTCTCTCTGGAGGGAAAAATGGAGTTCTCCGAGAGCAAGAACCTTGACTCAAATCTGTCTCCTATATGCCCAACATTCAGTAAGCCTTTAAAATGGCAGGGAGCAGGAAGGGAGCCAAAAAATCAGGCCATCTAGTACCTGTCACATTTCTCCCCCTGTTTAAACTTGGAAAAGTCACTTAACTATCTGGACTTGAATTTCCTTGTGTGTAAAATGAAGGGCTCCACTAGCACGATGTCTAAGATTCCTTTCAGAAAATGGGAAAGACAATTATTTTCCAGGCTAAAGGAAAGAAATACTGAGAAAGTGCTTGTCACCCACCCGTGGAGAGGGGGTGGTCCCCCCTTCTCACACCCCTATGTCACTAGGGAAGAAAGTTATAAGAAAAAATTCCTGGCAAGTAAGGACTTGCCCTAGCAACTCACCACTGAGTAAATCTTTCCTCCTTCTAGCCTTGAATTCTCATCGACCTTAATCCTTGCCAGATC